AGCACTGGGCCACGAAAGCCATCGTCTTGCCGCTTGCTGCCAACTGATCACCCAACACCAGCACATCTGACTGCACCACCACATCGGTGTCAAGATAGACCACAATTTCATGAGGCAGCCATGTGTCAATGAAGAAGCGCACATACTTCTCAATGGACTTGGTGGAGCTTGTCTGATGCTGAAACAGTTCGGAAATGTTTGCATCTTCAAGTGGGTGAAGCTGTATGACTGCCCCAAGGGTTGACACGGCTGACAGCGACTTGCCCTGCATGCCAAATCGTTCCTGGAAAATCGGGAAAGACACCTTCTTCACCACTACATCAACAACCAATCGCTGCGGCTGAGAGCACGTCACCAAGAGTGAGTGAATGGAGCCACAAAGTCCGTTGATCGATGACTCATCCGCCGCGTAAAAAACATGGATGGTGGGGGCTATCCGGTTGACCAAGCTGTCACGTACAGCCTGAGCATTCGGCAGCAAGACCAGCAAGGCAAAAGCCAATTTGGGCAGTCCCCGCATAAAGGTGGATTTGGCAGACAGCGTGGTCATCTCACAATGCCATTTGATGGCTTCATTTCGTGATATGCTTGAGCAAAAATCATAGCGACGGGCGCAATGCGCAAAACAAATTGTGAGGGCACCTGGCCCTGTGAAACCGGCCCAACCAAGCGCGCACGGAATTGAAACCGTTGCAGGTAATGCTGAAACAAAATGAAACAAATCAGTCCATATAGATGTACATCTTCATGTGACGCGCGTGAAGCCAGCTTCCATGGCTGGAAGAACAGCGCCAATACATTGAGCACATCCTCCTACCCATTTGCCGCACGCTGCCTGACTTGGCACTCCGCCGGTCTGGCGGGGGGCCAATTCAGCGCCTTTTTCAGGCCGAGCCGTTGCAGCTGGCGGCAGTCCTAGGAACGACATCCTTTTTTCATTTGTTGCAGGTTGCGCCCAGCGTGGCCGCTGAGCTCTCCTGTTTGGACAACTCACTCTCTGACGGGGCTGTCTTTCCTTGCCTTGGGAGTCCCAGGGGCGCGGCTAAACCAATAGCACTGCAACTATGAAACTTCAGCGACTCCTAGTACCGCAGAAAAAAGGTTCGTTGCTGATGTGAACCGAATAAAGATTACTAGCTTGGAACACCACATTCCTAGTTTCCGAGTGCTAGGTCTTAATAGTTGGTTCCGAGTACAACTTTCTGAGTTTCCAACTACAAGTTTCCGAATACCACGTTTCCTTCAACATCTCAAGCGCGCAGCGCGCCTGCTTTTGCAAAAAGGTCTTTAAATTTGGCTTGGGCTACTTTTTTGGATCGAGGACGTTTAATTGAAATATGAGGGTGCTTGCCTCAGCCCTCGCCGAGGCTCGTGCTCCGGTGCTTGACATTGTAGCCTCCTTGGTGGGATGCTGGCATGCTTCCGTCTGCAAAGATTGGGAGAGGAGGCGTGCGCGCAGGGCCGAGCGGGTTCAATTGAACAGGTGCGCTTACCGCGTGGCTGGGGTGTGTGTGCAGCTGAGCGGGTTCAGTTGAATGGGTGCGCTTACCATGTAGCTGGCGTGGCAGTGCTGAGCGGGCTCAGTTGGGTGGGTCTGCTTACCGGTGGCTGGCGTGCGCGCAGCCCTGAGCAGGTTCAGTTGAACGGGTGTGCTTACAATGTGGCTGGCGTGTGTTGCGCAGTGCTGTACGGGTTCAGACGGGTGTGCTTGCCATGTGGCTGGTGTATGTGTGTGTGAAGTGCTGAGCGGGCTCAGATTGGCGTGGCCTAGGTGGTGCGCCGGTTAAGAGATCGCAGGAAACTGAAGGTGCGGGAAGAATGTTCAGGGCTCCTGAAAAGATACATTTTGCCCATTTGAAACATGGCTTTTCCACCAAAACAAAGGGAAACCACCATTTACAAGGCAATGTTCAGGTGTATAATGTAAGGATCCCTGTTTTTGGAAGGGCATGCACTAGAACGTCAAGTCCAGCGCCGCGGCAAAACGTGCGCACGTGCTTGGGCCTCAGCCTCAAGCACGGCACACGTCTTCACGCGAAAGCAAAGAAAATGACTGCCATGTTGGATCTTGAGCCAAGATGGGCAGTCTGTGGATGCCAGTCTGACAGCTTCTAAATCCGACTCTGAGTTTCTGAATCCGACTCTGGTAGTTTCTGAATCCCAATTGCTGAGTCTGACTTTGCAGTGTTTGAACCCCAGTTTCTCAATCCAACCAAGCTTCTGAGTTCGACTTTGTTCCAGCCAGCCATGAGCGTGAAATAACTTGAGACATTGCGTATGCATGCGTGAGCGCTCAATGCTTGCCAAGGCAACTAAGCTTGCCTTGCTTTTTCGCTCCGCTCTCACCGGCATCTAGTAGCCACGTTCCTTGTCAACCGTGTTCTTGAGAGGCTTGCCTTCCAGGTAATTCTGCAAGATTTCCTCAAACACACGCACTGCACAATCATGAGTATTTGCAGTGTCATCTGCAGAATGGGGTGTCAAAAACACATTCTCAAGCGAGTAGAAATCGCTGTCTGCAGGAAGAGGCTCTTGCTTGAATACATCTATGACAGCCCCTGCGATTTGTCCGGTCTTCAATGACGTGATCAAGTCCTCTTCGTTGTTGGTCTGGCCCCGGCCGAAGTTCATGTAGATCGCACTCTGCTTCATGAGGCTGAAGCGGCGGGCATCAAAGAAGTCTCGTGTAGCAGGAGTTAGCGGGAGCAAGTTCAAGACATAGTCAGCTGTTGGCAGCATGGACTCGAGCTTGGCGACATCTTGAATGTGGGCACACTGCCTGCTCTCCTCAGAAGTAGATTCAGGACGTGCTTTCACTCCAACCACCTTCATGCCCAAACCGTTCAGCTTCTTGGCGCACGCAGTGCCTATGTGTCCGTAACCCACAATTAAGATCGACTGCTCGGCCACATCCTCCACAAAGGTGGGTGCCCAGAGTCCGGCACGTTGTGAGCTCCGGAAGTGGAGGGCTTTCTTGGCATAGAAAAGAACCGCAAACACAACAAACTGTGCGAGGTGCTCGCTGTACGCTGTCCTCACGTTGGTGAGTGGGATTTGACTTTTCTTCACATCCGGCTCTCGCAGAACTGAATCGACCCCAGCCGTGAAGCAATGCACCCACTTCAACTGTTTGGATGCCAGCTGATCCAGCAATACGCTCGCAGCTTCTTTGGGGTTGTACAAGAACAGGCCATCGTAGCTATGCTTGGTCTCAAGTGCCGCGTAGGCGTCTCCACTGTGTATCACATCGATGTGATACTTGTAGAGAGGCTGAAGCCGGAAGAGGGCGTTTTCAAAGAACTTGGATGGTGCATTTCCAAAGCCCAAGAACAAGAAACGATTTTGGGCCATGGCTCCAGGACGATATTGAATTGACAACACAACAAGCTTGATTGATGGATAAAATGGAGCTGCGAGCATGCATTCTGATGGAAACCTTCCTCTCTTCACGCAAACTCAACGTCAACCTGGCAGCCACTGACCGACCGACCCATGCGTAAACAAATCTCTGAGGCTAGGACTGCAAGAGAATGCATCGCATCTGCAAATGCACAAAGCGCGACCGGAACTGACACCCCCGCCAACTTTCCATTTTTTCGTGTCTGCTGGAACCCGGACTTTGGGCTGCTTCCACTCATGCTAACATTGACAAACACAGCCCCGGCTTGCCCATGTCAGTAATTATCTACCCCAGCGGCCTTCAACTTCGGCCTCTTGATTTTTACCAACTGCATCTAAAGCTTGCTGACATTGTCTGAGCCAATAGCGCCATGTCCGGTCGACAAATTACACGGCACAAACAACCTATTCGGCAAGACCGATTGTTCTAGGCAGTTTATTGCCTAGACTGCTGGATATCTGCCTGCCACGCCCGCGTAACTTGGCAACATCCTACCCCTACACACCCACACACCTACACGCCTGCCCGAGAAAATATAACAACACAAACACACTCGCAAAACACACGCGCAAACACACGTATACATGCACTTCTGTACGCGCCTTCTCACACCTACACGCGTGCACAACAATCACAACACACGTACACACATGGACAACCTTACAACAATACAAAGCTACTCACACGAATGCAAGCACAAAGGCAACGCATAAACATAGACAAACTCGCAGGCAGAATCATGCGTCGTCCAACAACGCACACTCACATACACAGACACATACAGATACGCGCAAACAAACAAACAAACAAACAAACAAAGGCACACACACACACACATAAACAAACAAACAAACAAACAAACAAACAAACAAACAAACAAACAAACAAACAAACAAACAGACAGACAGACAGACAGACAGACAGACAGACAGACAGACAGACAGACAGACAGACAGACAGACAGACAGACAGACAGACAGACAAACAGACACACGACCAAACAAACAAACAAATCTGACTTTCGAGACAGCTCGGACATGCCATGCCCCCTGACTCGCCAATTGGGACTTTTCTAGTTTCAAAACATGCTTTGCTGCGTTGGCAGGACAAGCAAGTAGTTCAAGATCAATGAATATAGCCTTGCAACAGCATAGCAGCAAGACACACGCTAGTCCTCGAACCTGACCCAGTCTTTCATCGCACGCCGTCAACAATCGATTGGCCAGGTCAGGCTCACCCGGCACGAGCTCAAATTATTTTGCTCTGAATTATGCTTTGAGCCCGTCCGCTATCCGCAAACCATGACACTCAGCCACTCACGCACACACACACACACACACCCACACCCACCCACACACACACACACACACACACACGCATACACACGTACACACACACACACACACCATTGCCCTGCAGGCCATCCAAAAACGCACGCGTTGGTCGAGGGCAGGAATTCTGAGCGCAAAGCAGCCTTGGCAATTGACTGCCCACAGATTCCGCCCATTGAGGATCCCCTTCGAACTGCCTGCGCAGAATTCACAGGCGGCTGGCAAAGGCCTTGAACTCAGTAGCTGCTGCCTGCACATCGAGGAAGGCGCTGTCGTCTCTTTCAACACTGAACCTCCCTACCTGCAGAAACAACCTCAGGGTGGCAGCACATGTAAGCTGGCAGTTCTTGGGCGACGAGCTTTGCATGCCCGCCCCATTTCTTCATCATTCAATGATGCTCTTAGGTTAAAACATGGCATGATCTTGGCATCAACTTGCGTTTTGCGCCTTCGCTGCAGCTGTCAGCATCTGCATGTCGCTGCCCACAGCCACAAACGAGCATCCCTGCCTGAGACTCATCCCCAACACATTCTGATCCCAGGCACCTCTCATGAAATTTGGTGGAGGGAGCCGAAGTCCTGGCTCACGATTACTCAAGCAGTTGCTTGGGGCTTGTTTGGGCTCTCCCCCCCCTCCCCTCCCTCCCCAGGCCCCATGGCTTTTCATTTGAGGGTGTGGCTCCAGGGCCCACTGGGCATCCTCCTTGTTGGCGGTGAGGAAGCCGGCTGCCTGCTGCAAGACTCGCACGGCAAGCAGGGCCAAGTTTCCCCGGCCTTTCCCGTGGCCAGGATGCGGGAGAAGGCCTTCTCAATCACTGCTCTCACCTATTGGTCAAAGGAGCGCATTTGACAGAATGAGTGTCTGGCTCGTGTGCAAGTTGAAAACAGCTGGAGAAGCCATGTGAAACACACCGCAGGACAAGGCCTCGGGATGTCGCGGTTGGCCAATGAAGCCTGGAAAACCAGGATCGATGCGCTCTTTCACGAACTGTTGAACAATAATTCCTTCCATGATATTCAAGTGTGCGCGGGTCTATCTTCCACGGCACGTACATATGTGTTGTCACTAAGGGCGAAGCATAGAAGCGCATCGCGTCATGAGTACGACATTGACGGTGACTGCTGTCAAACTCACAGAGGTGAATGTAGAAAGAACTGTCGTGATGCATAATCCCGCTTCACGCCCGCCACATCCCTGCAACTGACACGGAAAATGGTTCAATACCAACATTTCAAATTGCAATGTAGCGAGTGTGCTCAACGTCATCCTGCTTACTGCAGCACATTTTGACAGTTTTTGGGGTTGTTTGGAAGGGAACCAGGCAGTTTGACAACAATTGGTCAAACGGGCAAATGTCAAGTCCAAACCCTGGAGCCCAAAAACCTAACACCTCCAACCCTATCATGCGTATGGGAATGTATGGGAAACCCTAGATGACGCCTCAGTGTAGACCCTATCAACGGCCTTGCTGGTGGATTTTTCTAGCAGGAAAGGACCTGAGAAACATATCATTAAAAGGCATCAAGTAAACATCAAAACATACGTGGAACATGTCGACCCTCTCCCAGAGGCATGCAGCCGATGGACCCATGGACGCTGAGAGGTCGCTTGGGCCCACGAAGAGCGCATCCACCCCGTCCACGGCGGCGATGGCCTCGATGTTGTCCACGGCCTCCCACTTGGACCAACATGATCCTAATGCACGTGCAACGTATAAACACCAAGTCTCTGTAACTTCCGCGCCCATTGTAAATCTACACACAAGTTATCACTGGTTTTCGGTCAATGTTTTCGGTTTCTGGCCCTTCCGCATCTCTTCCGCCGCCCTTCCGCGTCTCTTTCGCGCACACAGTGGGAAGATCATGCCATGTAAGCCTGGAAGTTCGCAGTACTAAACCAAATAGAATGGGTTTAGCACGACACCCATATGCAACCTCCCTCATGGACCTGGCTTCTGCGAGTGTCAGATGCTCCAAACTGTGGACCTGCGTTGCGTCAGTTGCGTAGCAAGCCGGTTCTGTTGACTAACTTCTGTTGCTCTACATTCTCACCCTAATTGTAAAAGATGTCACTCTATCTTTTGTCAATACTTCATTCTCCTGACCTGTGAGATCTATGACGATTGTTCTTACTGCTGTTGCATTGAGATATCTGACGTCTACGCGTCTATGTATCATTCCTACGATGCACATTACCATCCTTCGTAATATCATCACTATCACTTTCTTATTATTACTACCATCATAGTTCCTATCGTTGTGGAGTCCTGTCTCTAATTAGCACGCCTACGTGTCCAACTGTCAATGCATATGCTCTTCTTACATTTAAGTTTATCATTGAAAGCCACCTATCATGCACTCTGATACGTAGCAATCTGAATACTATTGTGCTAGGCACGTCGATTCTATTCTTATCACTATTTCTATCGTTGTGACAATTATATTGCAACGCTTTCTGAGGAGAAGAACCCTGGATCTAAGATTCAAGGTTGAATATTTTCCAGCACACCATTACCGAATCTTCAATCCGGGCCAGCAAGCCCCAATCTGTAAGATTTGTTTGGTTAAGCCTTTAAATACTTTTAACCCATTGTTGAAGATCGAAGATGGGCGGTTCTCAAATGTGTGCAATCTTCAATCGTCAATCTTCGATCCAAGGTAGAACACTTTGAGGTTGTTACTGTTACATTGGTTGCGGGTTGGGAGGAGGTGTAGCGCTGGGCTGGGGGCTCGGGGTCCAGGCGCATGTTGTTGAACCACGTGGTGAAGTTTATGTTGCGTTAGAACGCGCCACTTCAGGAGAGCAATCACACTGCTCAGCTCTTGTTCCGTGGAGATATGTGTGACCTAGCACCCATAGACACACCTCCATCGTCTCGATCTGCATGATATTGCCTCCGAGGAAGCAACAGGTACATGTGTCCCTCGAACAAGTGGAGCTCCCAAATGCAGCTGGGCAGCAAATTTGCGCCGCTGCTTCCTGCGGCAAGAGAAACCGCCAACGGGCCACTTCAAGTCGCTGGAGCCTGGTAATAGTGCGGGCTTTGCGCGCCATAGTTGTTCATGCGGCCAATGCTCACAACCTCAGTACCAAATCAGCAGGACTCAACAATTATCTGAAACGGACTGCTGACCTGCAAAATATAGCGATGCACCATATTCCCATTCTTGAAACATTGGCCGGCCTCAAGGTCCACTGACAAACAAGGTTTTCGCTGGCACACCATCCATGGACCTCAGCTTGATCTGAGCGGCGCCCCGGACGCCGCCCAAGCCGGGGTATCTCGTGGCCTGCGCATCGCGCAAGTTCGGCAAACGGAGGGAGAGCTGTGCAGAAACTCTTGGCACCAATTTGATGTCTCTTCATTCCACTTTGCATTCTGATGTACATATTATCCATGCTCCTGCGCGTGTGACACCCGGCAATGCGTTGGAAATTACGGGAACCCCAAATGAGCATCTTTTTTAAGCCGTTCAGGACTTATACACTGCTGGGGAGGCTGCGCTGGGGGCTTCGTGAGGCCAGAGTTCGTGGAAAAGATTTGCCACGCGAAGCCTGTGGCTTCTTCAGCAGGCTTCGCGGACGTTTGTCCCACAAACATCTCTGACGTTTGAAACATTTAGTTGAATCAACTTGAGTCTCTGCGAAAGGGAGCGATGAGAGGGATTGAGAGCAACACTTCCGGCAGTCTGACTGTAAATTATTCTTGTATCAGTTAGTCTTGTCATACCCTTCCCGCAGCCATCTGAAAGTGAGTATAAACAACCTTTGGCACGCTCATGCCATGAGAGCACATAACACACTGTAACCACGACATGCATCACAATTGCCTTCGCGGACCTTGTGGAAGTTCCCCCCGAAGCTAAAATCCATCATCTGAGAAAAAGAGGTGAGGCGGTGCAGGTTGGGTTCTGATTGTGCCACATGTAAGGAGCCTTTTGGGGAGCTGAGGGTGGTTTTACAATCTGCCTGACTCATCCCCTCCGTCCTCTACTGCCAGCTTTGCTTGCTCGGGCGAATTGATCAATGGGAAGATCAGACCTCAGCTCTGTGAAATCCGCCCGCCCGTGGTGGAAGGTGAGAAAGGCGGGAATGATGCTCAGCGGCTCTCAACCCAAACTCAGTTGTTTCAGCAGGCCACTTCGCCGTGTATGACCAGGTATGCTTGAAAAACATAAATTCAACTAATTACGATGGAAGCACTTGCAATGACATATCGTTTGACAATAATCCTTTACTTAGCCTTTCGCGCCGCTTTTGATGCGGTCACCCTATCACTGCCAAAAGGATGAATAGTCGAAAATTGAGGAGCGCACCAAACCACAAATCTGATGCGATAATGTGCTACGAGTTGCCCCCCAACTGGTCTGGCAGATGTGCATGATGTGCACAAGTGCAATGAAACATCAGACTGGCTGCGACATGCCATGAGTTGGGTGTTGCGGCGTTGCGGCCTAAATGGCTCGACATCCGCAGCATATTACCTTGTCAAGCCACAGCAAGTCCGCCAAGCAAAATGTATGATGCACAGGGCAACTGTGCCAGCTAGACTCTGACAACGCGCGAACGACGCTTGTACGGCACACTGGGGTTACACGCTTGTCATTTCGGTACGGGTTGTGAACAAAACGCTTGTTCAAGGATGGACAGTTCCCCCATGCCATTTTTGCGTGGGGTCTTCCTAGCAATGGAGAGCACCACCCGACAATGGCCCTTGGCCGCCCAACAACAAACCCATCGCTGCTCCTTATTCCGGTGCCATTTTGCAGAGTTTTCAACCACTTAGATTTTGCAATTCGGCCAGTAGGATTATTAGTCTCCACTGTCCAACGATTTGAAGGCTCCTACTCCGAATCGGATTTGGCAAACCTGAGCATGCGAAGGCAGCTTGGCTAAGGCACAAGTAGCGTCTGGACCATTGGGAATTGGGAGGATCCAAGGAATTGTTGCCGAGTTTCGCAAACCAAGCACAGCCCAGTGCAACCTGAAAAGGGAATTTGGCATTGATACCTGGATCACGCAAACAAATGAAAGGCGATTCGGACAAGTCTCCTTTCAACAGGGCATCCTCTCAAAGTATTACTCCTCTTCAAGGAAACTCATACGTGAACTTAGCCTTTCCAAAAGATGCTGAAACCACCCTCAGCATAGCACAAAAGCGGTCGCCGGTCCGAGGTTCAAGCTTTGCGCTCCGAGGTCGAGCACTCGCTTCACCACCACCGGCTCTGCCCATGGCACCCGCACCACCGGTTCCGCGCCCCCCAGTTG